TGACGGGACCTTCTTCTGCTGGGCATCAAAAAGACCTTGGAGGCAAAATGACTTTTCCTGACCTGGGAGAGACCAATGTGTCATCCAGGTGTGTGGGTGTCCAGGGTCCCCCACCCCTTCGGGCCTCAATTTCCCCATGTGAGATCCGGATGGTCTTCACGGGGGCTTTTTTAAAAGGGTAGGAGAGGTGTCAGGACGGCTGGGGGCTGGGGCGTTCAGAGCTGGGCGGGACTTGCGGACGGATCGGCCAGTTGCTGGCGGCTTGACGGCTAGGCTGAGGGGCTAGGCTCCGCCTTGGAGGCGCTGGGGAGCCTTGGAGGGCTGTGAGTAGGGGAGGGAGGTCAGTCGCGGAGCTGTGGGGAGGACCGACCGAAGGAAAGAGCCGGGAGGCTGGGGATGAGCCGCCAGGTTCCGCTCGGCCCGCGGGAGCGCCATCTATCTCACCTGTAGGGGGCGCTTCGTTGGGAGCCGGCTTGGCAGCAGCATCTTTGCCCACGTCTTTGCCCGCGGGGGCCTTTTTGTCCGCTGTGAGGCAGAAGACATTCCGGGATGAGCACGCGCTCCGTCTTCTCTTCCAGAACCCCAGAGTGCAGGCCCCGGGGCCCCGCCTCCTTCAGATCCTGGAGTCCAGCCGTCCAGGTGTAAATTTATCTCTAATCCGAGAGTCTGTGGATCCGGTTTCTCCTTCCCCTCCCCGGGGAAGGCCTTGCCTCATCCACCCAGGCCACCGGGCTCTGACCTTTTAGGTCTTGACGGTATAATTAGCTCTTCCCCTGGGCTGGAAATCGGACACTGGTGCTGACCACAGCATCTTTCACACGCCCTGCCTGCTGGCGCCTGGCCCGCCAGGACCCCAGCTGCAGCGAGGGTCTGGACACCCACCCTTCAGCCTAGTTGGCCTGGTACCAGCCAACTGGACATCCCAAGAGGAAGGGTCCTCTCTGGGGGCTTGTGTCTCCTCCGTTCACTGCTTCATAGAGAGGAAGCCCCATCCCATCCGCATATTAAAAAATGCCCCCCAGTTCCATTCAAAGAAGGACCCTGAAACTGTACACAGAGAAAGGCTCTCCAGCCTCTGTATGAAGGAGGTCCCCTAATTCCTACACCAGGAATCCCCAAACCCCATCCAAAGGAGGTGCCCTCATCTTTGTACAGAGAACTCGCCTTACCACCCAGACAGGGACTCTAATAACTAGACATTTAAGGACCAGACCTCATCTCCCTGCAGAGAAAGGTCCCAATCCTCACTCACAGAAGTGACCCAGGTCCTTTCCCAGAAGACCTCATCCTCAAATGTAAAGGACCCGATCACCCGCCAAAACCCTGCAGTCTCCAACTGCAAGACTTCCATCCCCGTGGAGAAAGAGGGACACTGATTCACAGAGAATCTCCACGTACACCCAGAGATAAACCCCCAGCTCCCTGCAGAGAAAGGAAGCCCCACCACCACCACAGAGGGAAAGGGAATCACCCCCCCCCACACACACACACCCCTAACACAAGTATGGGACCCTCCCCTCCCACACAAGGAAGGGAGTCCCTCCCCAATGGGAGAAGACACCCCATTCTCCCAACCCCACGGAGGGAGGAGTCCCCAGTGAAAACAGGACTGTGTCTCCACAGAGGGAGGGAGTGAGTTCCCCCAGCCACCTGGTTTTGCCTCAGGCATGTCGTCGGACCTCCTCCCGCTCCTCTGACCGCGGCAGTGTCCCGAAGGGCCCTAGGGAGAACAGGTGGGCCCCCCCGGGGGGCCCTTTAAAGAGTCGGGAGACTCCCAGGAGGCTCTGGGAGGCAGAGACGCGCCTCCCCACCCCACCCTCCCCTGCTGCCCCACATTCCGCCTGTGTGTTCTAAAAGGCGAGAAATAACAGCTGGACGAGGAGCGGTGGCCAAATGCCAGGTCCCCAGGGAGGAAGGGGGCTGGGCTTCCGACACCTGGGTCTAAGGGAGGATGTGCGGCAGGCGGGGACTCCTGGGTCTGAGGGAGGTGGGGGCCTGGACTCCGGAATCCGGGTGCGGAACCGACCTGGAGTCCAGACTCTTGGATCCCAGAGAAAGGAGGATGAGGGCCTGGACCCTTGGCTCCTAGGCGGAGGGACAGGAAGGGACTGGGGTTTGAAGTGGACCAGGGCTCTGAGCCAGGACTCTGGCATGGGGAGCAGGCGGGTAGGGATGGTGGGGAAGACAGGGTCTAGAAAACCATTCTTAGCATCTGCAAGTCAGGCGTTTTCGGGAAACCAGAGCCGGGAGGGAGAGTCCGGTTTCCCAGCGTAGGCAGGGTGGCCGCAGAGGAGGGGGGGGGGGGGCACCGAGGCTCGGGGACTCCGGAGTCCCACCCTCCCGGCGCGGGCCAACAAGCAGACTTGGGGCCCCGGCCACCTGGGACCCCTCCTGGGGCCGCGCCCTGCCGGCTCCCCGCCGTGGTTCCCGGAGCAGGAACGGCGGGCACCGGACGCGGGGGAGGGGGCGGGTGCCCCAGCGGGGGCGGGTGGGGAGACCGGGAAGGCCCTGGAGGGCTGCCCGGACGTTGGCGCCCTTCCCGGCAGGGGGACCTGCGGCTTTTTGCATGGGGGTGGTGGTAGCTGGACGCCGGGCAGGGAGAGGCGAAGGAGACGAGGAGGGGACCGCTGGAGGGCAGCGTCTTGGGACGCCAGGTGTTTGGGGGGAGGAAGGCGAGGTGGGCGCGCGAGAGAAGAGGGGAAGGGTATGGAGGCTTGAGCTTAAGGCGGAGGACAGGCGGGCAAATAACGCCGGCGGAAAGACCCTGGAGTGAGGGAAGGCTAGTCGGTCCCGGCTTTTTTCCTGCCCTTCGTCACCTCCCGCCCCCAATCCTTTTCCAAAACCCCCTAAGAGCCGGAAACGTCCCGCCTCCTCGGAGCTCCTAGCCAACCCAGAGGCAGCTTCCAGGTGACGCCACGGGTTGCCAGGCAAACTGCTATGCGGCTCCTGCGGGCCCCGCGGGTGAGTGGAGCGCACGAAGCCTGGAGGGCATCTCCGCCAGCCCGAGGGCTGTATCCAGCGAGACCGGGACAGAGATACAGAGGAAGAGGGCAAAAGTTCAGAACGCGGGGTGGGGGAGGGGACAGAAACCCAGACGGAAAGGGAATCGGGGAGAGGGTGGGGAAGAATTCCGATCATCAAAAAGAGTCGGAGACAAAAATTGAATCGAACCACCAGTGCCTGCATTTCAAGCCCTTGCCGCGGCCTTCAAGGCTGTCTGGTCTGGCTCTAATTGCTTCTTGCATCTCCTCTCATCTCCCCCGACGCTGCCCCAGTGTCTCTGAGGGTCAGCAGGCCTGGGTGGATGGGCAGCATCGCAGTCCCTGACAAAGGGTCCCAGAAGGTCTGTCTACCTCGATGTATTTTATTTTATACCACACTTGGGGTAACGATAGTTTTTGCAAAAGGTACGTCATTTGCAAGAGGAGGCCCCCAAAAGACACGTTGTCTGTGACAACGCCCCTCCCACCCAGCCTCACCCCTCCCCGGAGGGGGGGCTCCCAGCCCGGGCTCTGCTATCAGCCACTATGTGCTCCCTTCAAGGACCTCTTCCCTCTCGGGGTCCTTGATGCTCCTTCCAGTCTTCCTCTGGCCATCAGTGGGTGGATGGTAGATTTCAGGTGATACGTCAAAGGCTTGACAGGGCTGCAAAGGACTTCCGAGATCTTTTTCCTTCTCTCCCCTTCCACAGAAGGGCCAAACTGGCCCAGAAGCAGCAAGTCTTTCTGGTCACCCTAGATCCCCCCAGTCACTCAGGCTCTAGTTTCTTAGTCCACAGCCTCTGACACCCCTGTGGGTTCCAATCAGAGCTCATCTGGGCTTCAGCTCAATGCTGGATTCACACAAAAATGGTTGGGGTCAATGGACAACTGAAACAAGCCACCGGGGTATGACAGCCAGGGGCAGATTGGAAAACAGATTCCCCATTAGATGTGGCCACCACCCTGTTCCAGCCTCTCCACACAGAAAAGCGGGTCCACCTGTTGATGGACTGCACAAAGTCTCTGGTTAGAACCGACAAGGGGGGGTTTGCCAAGGTCACACAGAAATCAAGGAGTGGCCAGAATGATCCCCGGCACCGCCCTAAGGAGGGTATTCCCGGAGAGGGAGGGTCCCCATGAGAACTCAGGGGCTGTTGGTGGGGTCCCCAAAGGGGCGTATCAGATGAGGATCCCAGGAGGGCCTCAGAGGTGATCGGAGGATTCCAGACAAACAAGGGCATCCCAGACTACATGGCCCAGACACAAGGTTCACTGAGGTCCACCGCCCCCCAAACCTGACAATGGTGTTTTCAGACATGACAAAAGGATCCCAGAGGCACCCATTATGTGATTGGAGATTTTCAGACATTGAAAAGTGACAGCAGGGTGGTTCCAGAGAATTGGGGGATCTCAAAGATGACAAATGAATTTGGAGGCACAGATAGAACGAGAGAGTCACAGATAGGCATAGAGACACGCATGCAAACGGTCCCCCACCCCACCCCAGGGACCCAGACATAACTAGGAGATCTCAGATTTGACAGGAGGGACTCAGACATGAGATGGGATCCCAGAGAGACCCTGGATAGGGCTTAGGGTTGCAGGGAGAGCCCTCCTTCTGATGTGGTGATCTCTAGGTTCACCAGCCCCTAGATGAGATTTGAGGGATTGCAGGCATCACAAGGGGATCCCAGAGAAGTTCCTGGGATTCTGGAAGCACTTTGCCCTGACCCGCCCCTCTACACAGACACGTAGCATAGTCGACTCCAGGTCTTCTGACCCAAGACAGGAAGATCTTGGGGCCCCTGGACATGACAAGGGACCCCCAAAGAGGCCCCAGACACGATGGGGGTGGGGGGGAATCCCAGAGGGGCCCCGGGCTGGGCTTAGGGATTGTGGCAGCAGCCCGCCCCCCGCACCAGTGTGGGGGGGTCCCTGGGTCCTATGACCCAGGGTGCGGGGACGCCCACGTGACACAGGCGTGGAGCCCCTGAGGGCCCCCGAGAGGCCGCCCTGGGCTCAGGCCCGGCGGGCGGCGGGCAGCAGCGCGCTGTCAAACTGGTAGGTGAGCTTGCGCTTGACCTTGCGGATCTCGCCGGTCTTGGCGTAGTTGCGCAGGGCGCGCGCCAGCTTCTGGTAGGTCATGCGCTTGCGGTTGCCCTTCTGCTGGCCCCAGCGGCGCGCCAGGAGCTCCTTGTGCTTCGAGGAGAATTGGAAGACCCCGGCGCCCGGCTCCACCCACCACACGCACTCGCGCATGTCTCCGCGCGTCAGCAGCCCCAGCAGGAACTGGTACAGGCGCAGCTTCTTGCGGGCCCCTGCGGCGGGTGCGGGGCGGTTAACGGAAGCATCCTTCCGGGCCCCACCCCGCGCCCTCCCCGGTCCGGAACCGCCAAGCCCCTGCCTCCCCATCAAGAGAAGTGGGATGAGGGAGGTGGCTGCTGGGTAACCGTGCCTGGCTTCCTCTGTGCCACCCCTCCCATCCAGGGTAAGTTGCTCCCCCTTCCTGAAGGTGTCACCCCAGAACACCCATCTCCCATCCCTGCTTTATTTTTCAGGCTGTGTGCCTATCCTGTGCCTGCTTGGTGGCCAGAATGTATCTGTGGAGCGCACGGGATGAATCTGCCAATAGGTTGGTAGTGCTCCTCAAAGGCTTCTAACAGCTGACTAGTGAAGAAGAGATTTGGAGTTGGTTTGAATCTGCCTGGCCATTTCTTCAGCTTCAGCCCTCCCAGCATGTCAGCTTGAGGGATTGGGATTCTGGGAGAGGCCGAGCGGTCTAACTCCTGGGCTTCTAGAAGCAGCAAGGGGCCCGCAGAGCTCTCGCCGTGGGGAGATGGGGAGCTGTGGCCGTTCATACCAGGCATTAGATACAAGAACCCCACCTCTGCCATTTCCAGCTGTGTGATGTTGGGGTGGTGACCTAACCTCTCTGAGCTGGTGTTTCCTCAGTTATATAAATGAGGCTTGTGTGTGTGTGTGTTTTACTTTTACCAGTCTTTGTGAAGCACTTGGTACCCACGTGCTGTACTATGCACAGTACAATTAAGAGCTCATTTAATTTTCATCACAACCCCACAATACAGGGATGATGATAACAAAGCCCATTTTACAGATGGGAAACTGAGGCCCAGATAAGGAAAGTGACTAATAATTCCAGCTTCCAGGGGTTGAGAGTAATGGAGGTCAGGCACAGGGGCAGAAGCAGAGGTTGAATAGGCGGAAGTTGATATTGTGATGGTTTCTGTTGCTCTTGTGTCCATAATGATGGTGAAGATTTATTAAGTACTGACTCTGTGCCAAGCATTGCTATCTCGTTGACACTTACAATCCCCCGAACACTCCCAGCCACCAGGAATAGACACTATTAGTGTTTTTGCCCCATTGTACAGATAGGAGCCCAAGGCACAGAGAGGTAGACGCAGTTGCCCAAGGCAGCACAGCCAGCAGATGGCAGATCTAGAAAGTGCCCTCAGCGCTGGAGTATATACAGTAGGTGCTTGGGCAGACGTGGTTCCCTTAACCCCCCCTCTAACCCCCACCAACAGTTGGAGTCCCCCCCACCCCATCAGCTCCCACATACCTGCCTCGGATCCCCTGCCTTCGGGGCCAGCCACGAGGACCTCATCCGACTCGCTGTCCGAGACCTCCAGGGCAGGACTGTCCAACAGGAGGTCCTCCTCCTCTGAGAGCACGGGGCTGGGGTAGGGGGCATACGCCGGGGGGCCCAGGGTCTGCGGAAGGTCAGGGTTACCCATGGCCTGCAGGGGGGCACCCTTCTCTGCCTCCCTCTGCTTCGGTCCCTTCGCTTCTTCCCGGGCCCTGGCTCTGGGCTCCCTGCTCCGCTCACAGCCTGCACTCAGGCTCATTTCCGATCTCCATGGCGGGGCCAGGGACCCCCGGGCCACCTCCGTGAGAGCCTCCTGCCCCTTGACGCACGTCTGCGCCTCTGGTGGCTGGCTTGTGTGATGGAGTAATAATGCCATTTAACCCCAGCGTCGCCAGAGGGGTGAAGGGTTCCCTATGTACTCAGGTTCTGACGCGGTGCCGGGCACCTCAGTCAAAGGATGGGGAACTTGCGCGGTCTCCCCGGCCCTCACCTGGCTCGTGAAGTCTTCCGTGGGGTACGCTGGGAAGCTGGGTCCCGGGGCCTCCAGGCTGGGGGCCGGGTCCAGGCTCCCCACGGGGCTGTAGGTTGAGGGGCCGTAGCAGAGCTGGACACCCTGGGGGTGGCCGAAGGTGGCCACAGCTGGGTCAAAGGTTTCATAGGAGGCGGCTGGGACTGCGGGGCTGAAGCCGTAGCTCCACAGGTCTGGGGGGAAGGGCGCGGGATTAGAAGCCGAGAGGTCTGGCCTTGGGCCCCTCCCCCTCGAAGCCCCCGCCAGCACAGAGGGGCTATTGTGGGCTGTGCAAATCTGTGACCCCAGGATTTGCATGGGCGAGTGGGTGCGTGGGAGAGGAAAGGGGAGGAGGTCTGGAGGCCGGGACTAACCTTGTCCTGCTGGCCCAGCTGACAGCTCCCCTGGGCCTCAGCTCCCCCATCTGTGAAGCGGGCCCAAGGGGCAGTGGGGGAGGGGGGCTGGGCCAGGGTCACTCACCAGGCGCCCCCTCTGAGTCGGGGTAGCTGGAGTGTTTGCAGCTGTCCAGATCGTAGAAGACCCCATCCGGGTACTGATAGGGGTGGGGGAGGAAGAGGGGTCACCCAGGCTGCCAGGTGACCCCACCCACCCTGGACCAGTGGGGAGACTCTGACAGGCTGGGAGAGGGAGAGAAAGAGAGGCCCACGGACTAGGCATCAGAGACAGGGGCACAGAGATGGGAGGTGGGCACAGCACAGCAGAAACACACACAGACCCAGACACACACACACACACACTCACACACAACGAGAGACACAGGCAGAGACACGTAGAAACACAGAGACCACGGTCTCTGACAGACATGGCAGCCAGCTCCCAGTAAGAGTGTGGGCTTCCGGGAACCCCAGCACCTCGCCAGTACACAGTCATAGCAGCTGAGGAGGGTGGAGAATTCCCCCAGCCTTGCCTGCCTCAGGGCCGAGGGCACAGGGGATGAAGGGTAAGAGGCACGGAAGTGTTTCTAACAGAGGGAAAGAAGCTCTCGACCCTTCTTTTATTCACCTCGATATCACTTCAATTCGCCCCAAGAACTGAGCATTGCTTTAGTAAAAATCTACAACTAGAGATATGTCATCCTGGTCTTAGGGCTAGGTATTTACCCACCAGATCTGGAAACGTAAGTCCACAAAAATAGCTTTGTTCAAGAACAATCAGGGAAGCTTTAGTAACAGCCCCAAATGGGAAACAGCCTGAGTGCCCAGGGATGGGAGAACACACAGAACTGTGGTCTCGTCCTCGGAGTACTATACAGCAAAGAAAAAGGAACAGTCTCTGACACACACCTGAGGTCACATGAAGGAAGCCAGACCCAAAGGGGGCCACTGTACATAAAGCTCAGAACCAAACAAAACTAATCTGTGGTGGAAAGTATCAGAGGGGGCTATTGATTGGGAAGGGACATGACAGAATCTTCTAGAGTAACGGCAGCGTTCTCTATCTTCATATGGTCCATGGTTACACAGGTGTGCACATAAGTGAAAACCTCAGTGAGCTGTCCACAAGACTTGTCACTTTTCTGACTTGTAAGACAAACCTCAATTTTTTTTTTAAAAAGCAAAACTCTTCAAGGCGGAGAAGGGTGGGATGCCTTGGGGAAGGGGCACCCACAGGGGTTTCTTTCAAGCATATGTGTGGGGTTTTATTTCTTGGACTAGGCTGTGGGTTTATGGGGGGTGGGGTGTAGTACTCTGCATGTCTGAAATAGTTTCGACTCAATTTTCGAAAATATATAAAGTCAAGCAGAGAAGGGAAGGAGGAAGAAGTAGATTTACTGAATGTGGGATGCATGGAGGAAGAGACACAAAGTCAAAGACACAAAGACCTACTCCTCCCCATTGGAGGAAGTGGACCAGGCTCTGAGAGAAGGAAAGAGATGTTAGAAAAATACTCTGTGATGGCAGCAGGTGGGGAAAAGGGGGCTTGGGGATAGCAATGAAAAGTCAGAAAGACAAAGGGACAGGAAGAAGCAGAGGGGGAAACTGAGGCAGGGAGGCTGCGATGGGCCACGTGGGTCTCCCCCACCCCAGCCCTCGCTGACCCCCAGGACCCCGACTCACCAGACAGCTGAAGTGTGGCCCATCGAGCCTGGAGGGGGAGAGACACAAGGGCATGTCAGGGGCGTCTTCAGCTTCCTGGCTCTCGAAGTGGTTGGGGGATGGATGAGGGGCAGGTGGCTGCAGCTGTGACCACCGCAGCCGGTCCGTGGCTGCGTGTCTTGCTGTGGGACCAGCCCCACCACATTCACCCCCACTCTCCCACCGGGACAGGAAGTGGGGCGCGGAGGCCAGGCAAATGTTCCCCCCTCCCCTGGGATTTGCATAGACGGAGGCCGGGCGGGGGCAGGGAAAGTGAAGGAGAGAAAGTCCCCGGAGAGAAGATGTGGGTGCCCGAGGGCGGGTGGGGGTGGGGAGGGGGCCTCGGTGAGCGAGTCCGTTCAATGGGTCCATCCAGGACCAGAGGGGAGAGACGATGGGAGAATACAGAAGATGGGGAAACACAGAAGAGGCTCCGCCAGGGTGAAGGGAGGAGAGGAGGGAAGGGAGAAAGGTGTGGAGAGACGTTCGCGCTTGGGCTGCCGGAGGTATTTATTAAGCCCCAGAAATGGGTGGGGAATAGACGGGCCGACAGATGGAGAGATGAAACAGAAAGACTGGAGACAGACACAGCGAGGGAGCAAGAGGCAGCAAGAGACCCACCAACAGAAGATGTGGCCCGCAGCACAGGCTGCAGACAGTCAGGGATGCAGTGAGACCCGGGGGAAGACAGGGACAGAGGCCAAGGGCCATTCGGGAGGACACCGGGGTGGAGGGAAGAAAGCGCCCCAGGGGAGAGATCCTTTCTCTTTTCTCTCCCCAGGGGTCCAGGGGAGACACAGGTGGGATGCAGGAAGGAATCGAGGAAGTGGCAGAGGCAAAGAGACCCAGGAAGGGGAGTGGACCCCAGCCCCTCCCACCCATCTGCCCCCTGGGCGGGACAGAGACCACCGCCCCGCCGGGGGAACTGGTGGCAGGAGGGTCAAAGGTGAGGGGCAGGGCGGGGGTCCTGGGTCCCGGGTTCGGAGGGCCCCCACTTACTGTGCAGCCTCTAGGGTGAGCATGGTGGTGCTTGCTGCCGCCTGCAGCCACCACCCCTATTTATACCTTGGCCCAGCCCCCGGGGTGGGGGGGGGCAGGGGTGCCGGCTGGCTGTGAGCTCAGCCCTCCTCGAAAATCCCCTCAGGGAGGGGGTCGGGGAGGGGGCTGGATTGCACAACCCCTTGGTCACGTGGCAAGGAGGGTGGGCCCAGGGGTTCTCTGGATTTGGGGATCCCCAGGGTTGGGGTGGGGGGGCTGGCCCTGAGGAATGGAGATGGGAGAAGCATTGGCTTTGGCGGGACCCCGAGAAAGTAAAGGAGTCAGGGGTCTTGTGGTCAGGGTGTGTGTGTGTGGGGGGCCTCTGGACAGAGGAGCCGGGGGGAGTGGGCTCCTGGGGGACACTCAGAGACCGACAACAGGTGAGAGCACTGGGGTGTCAGAGGCAGGGGAGCAGGGGCTTCCAGAGTGGACGTGAATTCAGCAGGGGTCCCTGAGGAAGAAACCCAGTCCTGAAGCTGGTGGGGACCCCGAGGTGGAAACACTGTGGGTGTGTGACCTGAGGGGGGGTCCCCTGGTCGTTCCGGGGAGCAGGAGCCTCCTGCCGGGGGCTGCCCCAGGCCTGGAGGAAGCAGGTCAGCACCTGGAGGGCGGGGCCCACAGAGGCTCTGCAGGCTGGGGCCTGGGGGGAGCCCTCAGGAGGGGCGGGGAGATCTGATCCAACCCAGGGGTCTTGCAAGGGAGGGTGAAGGGGCCAGTGGGGGCCTCCTGGGGGTCGGGGCATCCCACTCAGTGAAGCGAGGCCACCTGGGCCAGGGCTCGTGACAGTGGACCACGACCCCCCAGAGACCACGAGACACCATGGAACAAAAGGCCTGAGCTTTATTAATTCCCCACCTGTCCCCCCGCCCCCCAAGGTGGGAAGTCCGCTGAGGTCAGAGGTCACCAGGCCTCGGGGCCAGGGGGCCCGAAGCGCCGCAGCAGCCGCTCCTGGTCCTCCAGGTCCTTCCGCACCTTCTTGCGCATATAGAAGATGGGACAGTCCCGGCTGCAGGCCGGGCTGCTGTCAGGGCCCGAGGCAGGGCAGGGGCCGTTCCCAGGACTTTGGCCCCTGTGTGCTGCCCACCCGACGCCCGCCCACCAGGGGCTGTTTGCTCAGCAAGCCCAGGGGGGAGCCGATAACAGCGGGTGCTCGCTCAGGCGCTGGGCCACCGGCCGTATATCACCTGGCACCTGGCACCTGGCGTGGGAACCCGCCCCGCCCACCCGTTCCCTGGGGAAAGCCCGGCCCGCCCTGGGGGAGGGGGCTGGGACCCTGCATGTGCCTCTGTGTGATGGTGTGTATGGCCATTTCCTGGGCAGATACTGGGTGCCCGGCCCTGCCTGATCAGCAGCCCCCCCACGCCCACCCCAGGGAGGCCAGGACACCGAGGGTCAGGGAGACCTTCACAGCTAGAGAGGGATGTGGGGGGGGAGGGCGCGGGCACTTGAGCCTGAGAGCTGGGAGCCGGGTTTTGAGCCAGGCCTGGGCAGCGGGCTGGGGGGGGCTGCGCTGGCCTGGCCAGCTGCCCACCTGGTGCAGATGACGTCCTCGTGCAGGCTGCCTTGGCAGCGCTGACACTGGGTCCACAGGCGTGAGAAGCGCTCCTCCAGGGCACTCAGGTGGGACACCTGGGGACAGCAGGGGCTGAGCGGGAGCCCGGCCCCGCCCGACCCCCAGCTGCTCGGCCCGCCTCCCCTGACCCCTCACCTCCTTCTGGTACAGCTCCGACTCCCGGGGCTGGCAGAACTTGCACACGGCTCCTGGGATTGGGGCGGGGGGGCGGTCAGCACAGGGGAGCTGGGGCTGAGCCAGGGCCTGGGCCGACCCATCCCCGCCCGCTGCCCATCCCGGCTTCTGAAAGTCCCCATCAACAGAGAACAAGGGAGCAAGTGTGTGGAGAAAACTCCCTGGGGAACTCCCGGGGGAGGGGGCCTGGGACCCTCATGGCGGCGCCTGTAGACGGGAGCCCCACCCAGAGGCCACGCCAGCCTGTGAGGCTGGTGCCGGAGACCTCGGGTGATGGCAGAGGCGGGAAGGCCAGGGGCTGGGGTCCCGCACTCACCCTGGTGGCTGAGGACAGTGCGACAGCCAATGCAGCAGTTGCGGCGTTTGGCGAAGGCCAGGAGGCCGCCCACCTTGCCCGTGAGCACCGTCTTGCAGCGGGTGTGGTCCCCGCCTGCAGGTGAGGGCAGGCGGTGGGTCGGGTGCCAGACTGGGCCCCCAATACCCCCACCCGCCCCAGGAGGCCCCCCCATACGCAGCAGCACGGCCTCCGCGCGGCCCTCGCCCAGGATGGGCTCGAAGATGCGCAGGAGCGGCTTGGCGAGCTGCTGCTCCAGGTAGTACTGCGTGTCGATGGGCAGGCTGTGCTCCAGTACAAACAGGGGGTCCTGTGGGCAGAGCAGGGCCCCGTCACACGGGGCAATGGAGTGGAGGGGCCTGGGAGGGGCTGAGGGGCCGTGGTCCCTGGAGCCGCAGAGGTTGGGGGGGGGGAGTCCTTCAATCATGAGTGGGGGCAATGCTGAGTGGCAGTCGCTAGCCCAGACTAGGATGGGGTCAGAGGTCATGGGGATCCCTGGTCACAGGCTCCGTGATTCATAGGTAGACGCCCTCAGGTCCCCAAGGAAGGGTCAGAGAGCACAGTGGGGGCAGGAGGTGCAAAGATAAGAGCTGGAGGCTGGAAGCCCAGATCTAAGGTGATGGGGCAGGAACTGGGGACTGCAGAGGGGATTGTGGGGTCAGGGGTCACCAGACATCCAGATAGGATGCAGGAGGCTGTGAATCCCAGGGAAGTACAAGTTGGAGAGCCGGGACCAAGAAGCCAGAGCCACAGAAACAGATGGTGCGACAGGTACTCTCGCTGTCTGCAGGGAGGCTGCGCCCCCTTCTCCAGGAGGGGTCCGAATAGCGATGGGGGGGGGGGGCCCTTTCCAGAGGATGCAGGAAAGCCTGAGAGCAAAGCATCACGGAGCCAACTCCCAGGGGTGTGTTGATGTGTTGGGGGCGGTTCTCAAGGTCCCCGCGGGGCCGGGGAGAGGAACACCCTCCGCCGGGCCTGGAAAGCAGAAGTGAGAGCCAGAGAGCTGGGCGGAGCGCGCAGCCCAGGTGGGCCTGACCTCGGACTTCATGTAGGCGGCCACGCCCTTGGCGGCGCTGATGATCACGTAGGGGACGCGGTCGCCCAGGCTGGGTGCGCTCCCGGGGTCCCGCTTCCTCATCCTGCGGGGAGACCGGGGCGGCGGGCCCGGGTGAGGGCAGGTGGGAGGGCCCAGCTGGCTGGCAAGGGGCTATTTCTGGCCGCCCCCACCCCCTCCTGGGCCGGGCGCACCTCTCGGCCAGCTCCACGTGGGCCTGCTTGCCCGAGTAGTCGGCGGCAGCGCGGGTCAGCTCCTTGGTGATGACCAGCTGCGAGATGTCAATGCGATTACACAGCAAGTCGGAGATGACGTCCTGCGCATGCGCCACGGCGCCCGCGGGGTCTCTGCAGAGGGGCGGCAGTCAGCGGGACTTGGGGTACGCGCCAGGGGCGGGGAAGGGCCCTGCCCGGCCGCCGGCTGCCAAGGGGCAGAAACCGGGCCGGAACCCGCAGCTGTCCGACCCCACACTCTTTCCACAGCGCCGCCACCGAAGGGCCGGGCCTGACACCTGTGTCCCCAGGGGAGGAGGGGCTGGGGGCCGGGCCCCGGGGCCGGGTGGGGGTCCCCACGCACCGGTCGATGAGCAGGCGACGCAGCGAGGCGGTGACGAGGTTGGCCACCAGGGGGCAATTGTCCCTGCGCACGGCCTCCAGGCCCTTGCAGTCCATGCGGTCGTGGGCGTCCGGCCGGGAGGAGAAGAGCAGGCCCGCATACCGCTTCTTGCTGATGAGCAGGTAGGGGAAGTAGACCTGGGGGAAAGCCGCCGCGGGCTGAGCCCCTGGGACTGTGGGCGCCAGCGCCCCATCCTGAGACTTCCCTAGAAAAGGGACAGTCAGGGATGGTCCCCGGGGATGTGGGCTTGGGTCACTGGGGAAGGTGGACCCTAAGACCCCAGCATCCCAGCTCCGAGGGGCTGTGTGGGGGACTCAGCATTCCAGGGACTGCCCCCCAAATCAGAAACGGACTGGAATAAACCTAGACCCTAAAACCCAAGATCTAGACACCAGGGTGAAGTCTGGAGGGCCCAAATGGAGGCTTGAGACAGACCAGAAGCAGACAGGGGAGCCAGGCAGCACCCCCTCAAAAAGAGGAGACTATAGGCAGGGAGTGAGCCTGAGGCGGGGCCTCCCCAGACGGACAGGCTCCAAATCTGAGAGCAAGTGCACCCCAGCTGTGAATGCTGGGGACTGAGTGTGATGTGAGGGCTCCCAGACCCAAGCCTGTCTCACTCTGGGAGAACTGGAAAGCAGCGCTCCAATCCAGGCATCGCCTGGTCAGGGGGCCCCCAATGGACAGGGCTCCCCCCCACACCTAAAAACCGGAGATGCTCCAAGACTGACAGCATCTTTACGAAACACTGTCTTGCAGAGCAAAGACCAAGATCCTGAACTCAGGAGGATCCAGGCAACAAACAAAATACCTCAAAAGTGGGGCTTATGAACTCAAAGAATGGGACACCCAGTTCAGGGTACCCCAAAATGGAGACCTGAGCAACATAGGGTACCCAGACGTTGACACAGCAGGAGAATCTCACACAAATGCAGACATCCTGAGACTCAGAGACCCTCCCCAAAAAGTGGCGAGGCGCACGTCTGTCCAGTCCAAGCACTGGGGGCTCCCACTTACTTTCTCAAACTCTAGCCGGATGGGTGAGGGGAAGTGGCCGGACACCCAGTCTGCAGCCTCCCGTCCCAGAGCCATTGCCTCAGCCACGGAGGAAACGCCGAA